AGATTTTAAGGCTGTTTTTTACCTCTACTTCTGTGGAACTGTCTTCCTCATGGTTATTTTGATCTGCTTTTTGTTGTTTGAGAGACAAAGATTACCAGAAATGTTCTTCTAGTTACTGGTCGATCTGTACAGATTTATCTATTTAATGTGCTCTTCAAAAAGTATCTTTTTTAGATGTACTGACTAATCTTGCAAATACTGAGCAGTTTATTCTGAGAAAATTCTTGATCTAAAGTTTATATAATCTTTTCATACATCCTCTTAGGCTCACTTCTGGCTTATAGTCTTATGACCTTGACATACAACTTTGAAATCCAATTAGATTAGCTCAACTTGACTTTGTGTAGTGCACACATTACTTCATCATACTCCTTGGAATATGATTTATGGAAGTTAATAATCATGGATTTCGCCTCTTTGTACTCTCCAAATAGATATCATTTATTATCTAATTGATTATATACATTAAAATTTCAAGATATAAAGATGTTAGCTGATGTAGAAGAACGTCACCTCAAGTTTCAATTATATAAAATTATTGCGAAATTCCTAAAACCACCAACGCCTAAGTAATGTTTTTTTATTATTATGTTAAACATGTTATTACAACTTATCAACTTATTACATAGCCGATATTATATGTCATTGTCAGTCATTATAACGAATTAATTCGTTACATCAATGCTGCAAACACATCATTAGAACGAACGCCTTGCCTTTTCGCAATATCGAGGGTTTTCTGCAAATATTTTATCGCCTCATAGCAACTATCAATGATCATCTTTCCAAGACTTGCCAGAAAAGGTACGATTTGTCGTTGTTGCTGTGATTGTTATAGCCATCTGTTGGTGTAATATATGGTTGTACCTTTCTAGTGTTTCCATAAGTTTTCACACTCATTGAGGACGTCATTCAATTAAACTCTCAAATACGTTGTTAAAAGAGAAGCCGCCTATAAGAAACATGAGACATCCATAAGTATTATTTAAATGACCGATCAATACCGTCTAAAAAGTATTATTGAAACTTAACGATAAGCTTAATACGATTTGTTATAACAAAATTCATGAGAATGATGTAACTCTTGAAATATTAACAAATATACGGTTACTAAATAAATAAAAACCAAATAATCCTTGAATTTCAAAGAAATTAACACACTATATATAGAAATATTATTTAAGAATTTTTTTAGTATAGATCAATCAAAAACGAATTTATTCTACATTATACGAAGCATTGACCTTAACACCTCGCTTTCGATGGAATGCAGAACCCATCTTTACAATACCGCTACCGATTTCCGTTCTTTAGAAAAGGAAAGTTGTTCAACCGACGAGATTATAAAGCGTTAGTGTGTCAATGGGTCTAAACCCATAACAGAATTACATCATTATTACAACCAGGTAATAAAAAGAGTTTTCTTCTAAAAATATACTCATCTTCAAACATCAAGATGTTAGAAACGTTTTAATTCGAAGAAATTAAACGAAATCGACTAGAATACCAATTTTTCTATTTTAATCAAAGGTTTAATTAGACTTTAAATTCAATATAAATTCGTTACGATGTATTTAATAAATATGGAAACTACTCAATAAAAATTGTAAATGTCGAATCATTTATGGAGTGTTAATTAAAGGGTCTACATCGTATTCGGCTTTAAAATTTAATAAATTACGTAACGGTGACTAATTCACCAATTTTGTTTATTGTGAGGAACTCGCAAATAAACGTTTACCCTTTTAATATTGTAGCCGTAAGATTTCTACAATTAACACCTGTATAATTTTAAAAGATTAAAAATTTCTATTATTTCTGTTGACATATCGAGTTTACTTTCAATACTTTCCAAGCGGAAATATAACATTTAAGAGATGTGGTTTAAATTAAAGATTATTTTTATAATTGATTTTAAATTTTAATAGATTGATTTCGAATAAAAAATTTATGCATTTTATTTATTTATTTACAATTTTATAATATACAAAAAAAATTAATTTTCTCCATCCTTTTTGTTTCACTTTTAATACATTTTTTTTTATTATCGTTATTATTACATACTTTTTTGAGCAAGCTGTTATTTATTAAAAGATTAAATTGGATCTTTCTTTCTAAGATATTGACACTTGGGGCCTGTAACCATTTTCATCGGCTGTGTAAGTGACGGTAATTACTTTTCCACTTGATGGATCGGTGTATTTGAAAGAACCGCGAGCTTGCATCAATTCATTTTCGGATCCGGCGTTTTGTAATTGGCCCTCTTCGTCGTGTTGGATACCGTTACTCGTTTCAAATCCAAATTTGTAGCCATCAACTCCAATGTTTTCATTATCAAACCTTAAAATGGTTGCTGATTTTTCATCACCTTGCGGTTTAGCCGAAGAGAGAACGACCAAAAATCCTAAGATCACCAACTGAAAATGAAATTTAAAAAAAAATTAAGATCTCCTTAAAAGGAAGGATTTAATTTAAATTTATTTGTTGTTACATAATTATTTGAATCGTCTTAAAAAGTGTTGTAAGTGGACGTCTTTTTAATGTTGTTGTGTACAATGTGTTGTGCGAAATCTTCTTGGCCGGTTTATAATTGCGCGCATAAAGTCGGCGCGAATCAAAAACGTGTGTACGTGATGTTTACGTAATGCACAATAAGAAGAAGCCGGTTAGGTTGTTAAAAAAAATTTGTTTAAACGAAAACCCAGAGGCGTACGTGATGGTGATTTTCGAAATACTAGTTATGCAATTGCAATTATATGTCTAAATCGACGATTGTTTAGATGTCGAAAAGGTCGTTTAAGTACATCTATAATAATGATTATCATGTAATTTCTCTTTAATAATTGATATTTTCAAAATATAAATCAAAAAAGTTTTGACTAAAGTAGGATCAAAATGATTCAGAAACGTGGAGCTTTTTTGTAGTGGTAGATTGAGATGAGTGATGATTAAAAGAGAAGCTTTTTGTTCTACATTTTAAATCAATTCAAAACTTAATACTGGTAATGCTTCATAAGATATGTGGAGGCTTACAGATTTCTAATTTAATCTGTAATCGCACTCTTGTCTATCTATTATGAAACTAGAGGTCTACTAAGAGTTCATGTTTCGATTCTGTCTTAACAATCTTTATTCCTAACCTCAGCAAGCTTTAGAAAGAATACCTAATCTAATTTAGCCACCTCCAACTAAATCGTTATCCGCTAACTAAATACTCCAGAAATTATGGAAATGTCAGTGCCTAACTTTGGTACAAATAATAATGTTTTGCAGAAAAAAATTTAAATCAAGAAAACCATATCTCATTCAGAACCAAAATTTCCAAAATATTGAAAGTTTTGAAAATGATACAATTATTTGTAAAAACTTTGGCAAAGTTTATGATGATTGAAACTGAGTTATGAAGAATTTGTTGGAACCACCACAAACTAAAAGATTTATCTGGATCTATCATAAATTTGGACTTCCACGTAAAATGATAACTGTAAAAAAATGTAATATGATAAAGATAAAAACAAAAATGACAAAATGTTCTTGATTAAATTTGTTAATACTTACTGTCTTCATGTTGAGAGATAACAATTGTAGTTCCTTAAGGCACAGCGTAAAAGAACTGAATACAGTCGTCGTCGGTGGCATCTCTTTTATACATCCTCTTGTGCATGTGTTGTTGTTTGTTGGTTGGGGCCCCGCACGAGCCGCCGTCCCCCGTGGTTTTTCAAAACGGGTACGATCGCCTAACGGGGAGGCGACATTTCAACCCGGCCGAAGTGAGATATGACGCGATCGCGGCTATATGACTTCTTCACATCGCTAATTAGCATATTAGGGACAATATAAACTTTGCACCTATAGCTTCGAGCGATTAGTTTTATCGAGACTCTCACTTTTCTATGCCATTAATTCCTATCTTTATTCATTGAGTGATAAATAAATTATCATCAATTTTGGAGCATAAAAAACTAGAAAGAAGTAAAAAGAGAGAATAAGATGCAGTGACGTTAATATGTTGTAATGCATTATTTTTAGATTTTCGATTTATGGTGATTAATATTTTTTTTAATACGCCAATTTATTTGTTTCAACTTATTCTAAAATGCTTTCTTATTATTACGTAGAAAACCTTGTCACAATCATAATACAGCGGTGACAAAAGATATTTCTTTTTCTTCTATAGGTCGTAAAGGGACAAAGACATTTCTGCCTGGAAGCGTCATAAAAGAGTCTTCCGCTAATTTCTTCGTCGCCACATCTTTCTTCGTTCAGAATAGAGGACGAAGACGAAGACGACATCGAAACCTTTGTAACCACTGCCGTCGTTTCAACTTCGTACTTCGGTGAAATTACCCATTACCCAATGAATCTTTGCGTAAGCCGTTTGCTGCTGACAAAGAAGCTGTGAGCTGCTGCTCCCCTCAAATCGACAAAAGAGATTCTTCTTTGCCACTTCTAGTCTTTTCATCTCTCGCTTTACTCTTTACACAATACATTAACGATACACCTTGAGATTTTATGTGGTTGTCTTTATTTTAATAAAAAGAGATTAACAAGATGTCTTTTAATCAAGAAGAAACAGAATGATATTTACTTAAAAAAAGAAAAAAATTATTAGGTATCTAATTATTTTAAGTGTTTTTTTTTTGAAAGTAATTTCGTAACGGAGAAATCTTATTTACATTTTCTAAACTGCTAACGATTCAAATATATCTATTAATTAAGAAAAATTTTGAATTTAATGCATTTATTCCAATTCATCAAGATTTTGACATTTCGATTTGCTTTGTAGGTTAGAGTTGGACAATTTATGTCAGAATAAAACTTTTAGGTTATGTCAAATATCAATACTACCAACTCAAATTAGGATAAAAAGGAAGTATTGGAACAACAAAGTTTTTTTTTGAAAACATGTTAAATTAGAACTATTCTTTTGACGACACCTTCGAGGTCAGATGTTTCCTTAATCTTTTTTGTTGTAAACAAAAACAAAAATATTGTAATCATCATTTTACATTATAAGCACAAATTACAAGGTCGGCGTGTTTTTAGAGAATTTATTTGGCATTAACGATTTTTTTAAGATAAATACGACGATATTGTAATTGTAAATTTGACATAATTAATGTAAGGAATTGCAATTTGCATTTTATTAACAATTTGATGTTCCGCATGGATTAAACAATACTGAAACTTGTAATGTTCAATCTATAGAACCTTTTTTTTAAATTCCATATATACAGGGTGATTCAAAAAACCGCTGACAGACTTCTAGGGCAGGTAATATATCAAAAATTAAGATGAAAAGTCTGAATATACATGGGGTCGCAAATGCCTCCTTGACGAGATATAGCTGGTCAAAGTTTCTTTAAAATTAAACATTATCTGCAATAAAAAGCCCTTTTTTAAAAATATTTTCAACTCCACTGCTAATTTTGTCAAACGGGCAATATTTTCGTGTAAAGTGATCAATTATCTATCAATTGGTCTTTTACAAAAGTTTGATTAAAGCAACAGTTTTTGATTGAATTAACAAATTTTCTACAAACGTGTTTTTCTTAAAAACTATTGCTTTTACAATATTTTTAAAAAAGTGCTTTTTATTGCAGATAATGTTTAATTTTAAAGAAACTTTGATGCGCTATATCTCGCCAACGGGGCATTTGCGACCCCATGTATATTAAGACTATTCATCTTAATTTTTCGTGTATTATCTACTCTAGAAGTCTGTCAGTGGTTTTTTGAATCACCCTGTATAAGGACGAACTACTTGAAGAAATTTCTAAGCAATAATTACTGATTATGCCAAAATCAGATGAAAAACGAAGAAAAATTTCTTACAATCACTTAATTCAACACGTTTGCTTTCTTCAGCAGGGACACTTAGCTACAGGTACTCCAATTTAAAGTCTGACTTAAAGCATAAATTGAGTTATTATGGATTTTCAGTAACACGAATGAAAACTGCTGTCTAGAAAATTAAAACAGATGTCACATATGGAAGCGAATCTTTTGCCAAAACTTAAAAAATAAGGTTGATGGGACACATCTTAACAATAAGTGAAACCAGGAAGCAAAGACACTATTTGCGAGCAAACCAGATATACTAAAAAATAGGGGAAGACTTAGAATGAGATAGATAGATGGTGTGACTAACGACATAAAAAAGTTATACGTTCAAAATTGGAGAGTGACAGCACTTAATAGAGTGGAGTGGAGGCAGATTGTTCAGAAAGCTAAATCTCACCAAGGGACGTTGCTCCACAAAATGATGATGGAGCACCATTACTTCTACTGTAAGTAGACTAAGAGTACTAGTATGTTTTGACAGGTTTTGGCTTTTTTTCACAGTAGAAAAAATTTCATAATAATAGGTTGCCTAGAAAAGTCTATTTTATAAGATCACCCCATTCAGAACATCTTCGTACCTATTCTAGAAGTTGGTTTTTAAAGTAAACGTCCACATAGACAATTTTAAACATAAATTTGAGTTAACAATACCCCTTTATAGAACATAAAAGTATAGATCTTCTTTCTCTTATTATGTCTCTTATTATATCTCTAATACTATGAAGAAGACTGGAAGGATCATGTACGAATGGATAGTTAGCCTGCTAGGATTGTTTCATATTTCTTCACCTTATTTAAAGCTTGCTTCTCTGGGTTTAGAGAACCTAAAAATGAAACGATGAAAACTGGTAATTTTTGGAAAAACTGAATCATTGTTTTTTGACGATATACCTCTTGTGGAAGAGTTCAAACACGTTGGGATTTTTACAAGGTTCTAATTTAATGACTATTTTATCCAACTCTGTAGCCTGGTCAATTATTTAAGACATTCTGCGCCTTATTCTGCGCTCTGCACTGCGTTATTTATGTAATGTTATAGTTTTAGTCGAGTTCGAATATCCAAATTTAGCTGGATCCAGTATATACAATTGGAAAGAGCTTGTTTTGGAATAAATCTGTATCTATAATGCGAATTTAAATCAGAATATTTATATGTACAATCTTGTATACCGGCAAAGGTACTCTAATTAGTGACATCTATAAAGATAGACCGATGGCTTCTTAAGTACCTAGTTTTGTCATTACCACAATCTCTATTAAGAATGAATTAGTGTTTGATAACAGATAATTTATATACATCTCTACAGTAAGCAGATACAACCCAATCAAAAAAATTTCCCATGGAATTTCAAAAGAAAATTAAAACTAGGGGAAATAATCGTATAATGTTAATTGTATAATATCAAGGAAAAACTGTGATTTGTTTGTTGATTGAGCCAGAAAAGGGATTTATGAGCGTAAATAATAAAGAAATCACAACAAAGACTAAACAATACCATGAGATTCCATGAGTATCCAACAACTAGAATTCCGAGAAACTGAATCATACAACTAAAAAAGTTGGTCGTCTAAGTTATCAATCAGGACCGCTACACAAAAAAGTGATGCACGTTGTAAAACCTGTGCTTTATGTTGCAGCAAAAGGTATGGCAAACAAGTTAGCAAAGAAACTAGATTTTATTGCTATTAGGACTTTTTTCTCTTCCCCAGCGTGCCCCTATCGTGGCGTTGGGGATTGATTTTGAATCCATCTTTTGAAGTTTTCCCTCCCTTCAGCAAGACCCTTGAACTGCCACATAGTCTTCCCTCGGCTGGCTGCAATCTGCGTCACTTTCTCTTCCCATGTTGTTCTCGGCCTCCCTATGGGTCGCCTGCCCTACGTTCTGGCCTCCATATGCATCCGTGATTTTCTCACTTGCCCCATTCCTCGTTGCATGAACAAACTGAGACAGCTGTCTATCCTCTCCACCGGCGGCATTTTGAGCTGTTCTCGAACACGGTGTGTCTTTCCTGCAACCCTCTGGATACATTTCATTTGGACCGCATTAACCCTACTGGTGTCCCTTCTATTGGCGATCCAATTTTTACTGCCACAGGTAGGTATGGGCTCAATATAGCTAATAAACCTTTATCTTGGTCTTCTGGCTTACTTGGCCATAGGACTTATTAAAATTAAATATGCTTTCCTTAGAATTTAAATGGAAAGTAATAATTTCCTAGCAGGCAAAGGTCTCAAACCGACATGATAGTGCAAGCCCATCTTTCATCGCATCGTATCTTCAATTGTGCCTATTCAAGATAGTTCAGCAAATTATTACAGTTCATTGGAACTAACTAATATTAAGATTACCCCGAAAGTTATTGTCAATTATATTAGTTTTTACTTGGTATCAGTAGTTCCATCATAATAAAGTTAAACAGTTGAATTTTGTTCAAAGGAATTAGTATACTCTACAGGTCTACAGCATAAGCAACCTTATACGAATGTTCATAAGGCACTGAATGGGTCGCTGTTAACAAGTACCTATATGGGATTTCTATAACACGAAGCTTTCAAATATCACATTTGAAAAACAGCGGCGAAACGCAAATGAGATCAGATGTCAGGCAAAGTACTGACAAAATCTTTAGACTGATTGATTAAACGGAGCGAGTGTTATAATGAACATACGAGGAGCAAAACGAACCTAAGTATTGAGTATTTTATGGCACACCCTCCTGTCTCGTAAATAGCTGTACCAATTTTGTGCTGTGGAGAAATTATCCATAAAGCTTCTATCTTGTATCTTGTACTTTTGGTCAAACGATATCGAAAA